TTATGTTGAGCTGTGGGGGACTCAGGTCAACAATTTCTGACATTGCCAGTTAAGTGGAAGACCCAACACTATTATGGGCTACTGGACTCTTTTTGAATATTTTGCTGAGTTTACACACCTATAATATTCAAATAACGGAACTTAACAAAAAAAGGGTATACAGATGAATATCCATTTTGTATCTGTGTATTCAAAGTGGTTAGGATGGATATATAGTTATATTCTGTTAATGAATAGAATGATTTGTTCTAGTGGTGTTTGTAAACAGGATCTCAAGTCTGCATCTTGTACAGCAATTAACCACTAAGAAGAATATATGCAGTGTGTTATTTGTTAAATCTGTACTTCCGATTTGATTTGAAACTGTCTCATGGCTATCTGTTTATCAATAAAATTTTGGAAAAAAAAATAATCAAGTTGTATCTTAAGGAAAAAAGAAAATGAAAAGTATCACAAGAAAGAAATAATAGATTAAAATAGAAATAAAGGAAATCAATAAGATGGATTTTTTTAAAAAGTCTTAGGTTCATTGAAAACATCAATGAAGTTTTTAAACCTTCATCTAGAACCTCCCAAGGGAAAAAAATTACAAAAATATCAAAGCCAAAAAAATCTGGTCACTTCTCAACCTTTGAAAGTTAGAAAGATTACAAAAGAATACTGTAACTTTATGTAAACAAACCCGAAAGCTAGAGAAAATGGGCAAACTCCCTGAAAGATGTAAGTTATTAACAAGACTTACTGGAGAAAATAATGAATTTGAATAAACTTAAAGTAGGTCATTAAAAAATATTCCCACAAAGAAAACTGAAGGCATTTTCAAATGACTACACATGTGAATTCAATCAAATATTCAATGAAAAAAATAACACCCAACTTAAAACTCAGAAAACGAAAGAACATTTTCCAAGCTATGATCCTGATAAAGCCACACAGCTCTTGCCCTATTATCTGCTCATATTCATACCCACTCTCACACACACAAACACATACACACAAGACACTCTCACAATAAAAGCCCTGAAAAACACAAATGTGTAAGTATCTCACAACATGTTCACCAAGCCCTGGGCTATAGGCTGAATATCATGAATAAATCAGATTTATGCTAGGCTACAAATGAAAGTCTGGTGGAACATCTAAACAACTACTACCATATCCTGCACCATATAAGTAAAATAAAGTTTATTATCACAATAGACTCAAAAAACAACCAACAAAAACCAATGCCCATTCATTATAAGAGTTCTCAAAAGCTAGGAGAAAACATGATAAAGAAGTATCTAAAAAACTGCCTAATAGTGGGGTGTGATGGTACATCTCTCTAATCTCAGCAACCTGTAGGCAACAGTAGAATTACAACTTCCAGGCCAGCCTAACTATACAGGGAAACATTATCTCAAAAAAAAAACAAAACAATCTACACTTAACATCTTGCTGTGTAACAAATGCCTGCGATCCCAACATCAGGAGGCTGAAGGAGGATTACTGTGAGTTCAAGACTACTCTGAACTACACGGTGAGACGCTGTCTCAAAATATTAAAAATATTAAAAATAGTAACAGAATTTATGGTTTTACTTAATCATCAACAAAATATCAAGGCAATTTAACAGACAAAATATATTCAACAAGTGATGGGAGAACAAATTCCTCAAAACCCTTTGTAACAGCAAAAGCAGAACACAGACCAAGTGTAAGCACTACAACTTGCACAAATGTCTTTGGGGCCTTGGGTTAGGCAAATCGGTCTTCGACACTGTCCAAAGCACAGTAAAAAAAAAAAAAAAAATGGATAGAAAGGGTCAGGGATATAGCTCAGTCACACAGCTGCCTGCCTGGTAAGCATGAGGTCCTGAGTTCAATTCCCAGTACCGAAAAAGAAAAACAAAAGCTAAAACAGGCCAAATAGTAGGACAAGTTGGGGCCAGGGAGATGGCTCAGTGGAATAAGCACTTCCCTGGTAAGCGCAAGGGCCTGAGTTCAATCCCTGGTTCCACAAGAAAAAAAAAAAAGTGCCTTGGGGCTGGTGAGATGGCTCAGTGGTCTAAAGCACCTACTTAGAACAAGCTTAGCAAAGCACAGGGACCGCGGTTCAATCCCCCAGCACCACATGCCAGCCAGCCCCGCCCCCTGGCAGACTAAGCTGGCCACACACACCACACACACACACACACACACACACACACACACACAAATAAATAAAATTTAAAAAAAAATAGGACAAGTTGCTAACTATATACTGAAAACACATGTGTATCTAGAAAACTTCATTTATATTCAATTCATAATAAAAAGTCGAATTTTTCAAACAGCAAAGATTTGAATAGAAACTTTAGTAAAGATACAGTAATGAAATGAAACTATGTTCAACATCAATGGCCATTACAGAAAACTAAGTCACAAGAACAGTAATGCTCTGACAAGTAAGAGACAGAAGGCCATAGATGTCTAAAACATAGTGAGTATCACAACACGTGGTCCAAGCTGAAGTCTTGCCAAGCCATGAGGAGGGTCTGCCCAATAGATAAGCTTCCACTTTACTCCAAGTGGCAGACAATCCTCCTCCTCTCATCGAGCAAAAATGCTAAAGCTTTGCTCAATCGGATAAGGGAGGGGCAGCAGCAAACAAAAAAAAACATATTTCATTCTAAGTATCAATGGATCCTACCAGATAATTCTAAGTTTCATGAAATGGGCATATTATGTGCTCTATAAAAATCTTTCTAAAAAGACATTCCACAGTTACTAATTATTTCAATAGGACCTACGAAGCGGGTGCTGTTCCAAACATGCGGATTTAAAAAATTTGTAAATGGTCATCAGATTATATAACTTCATCGCAATTATACTGATTACCCTGTAACAAGAGCCAAAATGATGCTTTCTATCTAACAATTATTTCCTAAATGTCTTAACTAATTCACAACTTTAGCAAATAATATGCTTTCCTCCTCAATAGGCTAACTTCTGTGCCTTTTACTATTTATTATGAATGACTTTATTCTGCTATTCCTTAGTTTACCATTTTCTTTCCCCAAACTAATCCATCTGTTTTCCCCAAGATCTACTTAGAACGTTTAAAAAAAAAAAAAAAAACTGGCATTTCAGACATTCTATTATCTTTTGAAATACACAGGAAGGAGCTTACTTCTCCGGCATAATAAAGTGCAGCAAGGACCAGAGCTCCTTGAGAGAATTCTGAAGAGGGGTGCCCGTAATCAGGAGCCTATGGTTGGACTTGAAATCAATCAGAGTTTTATACAATAAAGAGTCATCATTCTTCAACCGATGGGCTTCATCCACTCCCAGAAAGGCCCAGTTAATACTGCCCAGCACAGTCTAAAGTGAAAACAAAACAGAACGAGCCACCAGGTCAGAAGGAACCCAAAGTGCTTTCAAGAGATAATTATCTTTGCACAAATACCATCACAGAGGTACAGAGAGACATATTTATCCATCACTAACTTAACATACTTAATAGGTTTCTTCTGTTTATTCCAGTAGTTGCTAGATACTCAAAAGAGCTAGTCTCTGTACCAGCACCCCCCCAAAAAAAAAAACACAAACACTGGTAAGCTGTGGAAAAAAAAAAAAAAAGTTGTTGCCTTTAAATTTCTTGTGTATACCCCGAAGCACAGGAATACCAAGAGCCACTACCTGCTACACTTGCTAATAGCAACTGGAGAAAGGTGTACTTAAAGAGCTTCGTTTCTCCGAGACCAAGCAAATCAACTGGTACAGAAAGCTTCAACAATGACAGAACAGCAGTTTCCAGTGACTATCATCACAGACGGTTACCTGCCTCTATCCTTTCCCCTGATTCAACTGGTCAAGGCAAGGGAAGTTTCCTTCCAGTTGTAAGGCTTTGCTTTTGAGTTCCAGCCTCAACATTTTTTGAGGAATCTGTGTGTGCCTGTGCTTTTTTTAAACAAAACAAGAAAACACAGCAAGTGGAAGGTACAACCCATACTATTGAAAAAGTCACACTGGACATTGATTTGGCCTTTTAGTTAGTGAACTACACACCTTGTCTTTTAAAAGAATCTCATATGTTGTTATAAGTGCATTGAACTTCAGCCTTTTTGTTTGGGAATGAATCCACTCATATTCCCGTATCTGTAAGAAAAAATGTAATTAAGACATAATTTCTACTTCTGTCTTCTGATATCATACAACTCTCGTGATAGATGCAATAGAAACTTGCTAAATAAAAAGTCTGATTAGAATTTAATGAATAGTTTAAAACTTCTGAAATGGCTAACATAGGCCAAAGTATTTGGGAACAACTAAAACATAGTTCAATCAGCAGTAATTTACCCCCAATTCATATCTGACCAAGAAATTGCATTTATTAAACAATCCCTGGTGACTTGAACTACAAAGGATTTCACAAATCCCTAAAATTTTCTCTTTCCTTTCTGTATTTGATACAGGGTCTCGCTATGCAGCTCAAAATCATAGTGATCCTCCTGTTTTCAGCTTCCCCAGTGCTGGGATTACAAGCATGCGGCACCACATCCAGTTTCAGTGGCCGGCTCAGCCAGGCCCAGCCGGAGCAGGGTAGGCACAGTACAGGAGCCCAGCCCAGGTCCCTGAGCTTGCCCCACAGGAGCTTAAGACTACTGAGCCATCTCCCTGGCCCCCTAAAATTTTCTTAAGGAAGAAAAACAAGTTCTAATCTCAGGCTGGGTCTGAAATCTCAACACACAGATGTGCTCACCAAGAAAAAGGGAAAAAGATTTACAGGATAAAATATAATTAAAAATGTCCTGTAAAAGAGTATAAAAACAAGTGTACACTGAAACACACCCAGAAACAAGGCAAGCAAAACAGTTACTAAGAGCTCACAGGCTCACTCTGGCAGCACACATGCTAAAAATCAGTGATAAGATAATGAATGCCTGCAGGAAATGGCCAAGCAAGGCCGAAAAAAAGGACTAGTGGCAGCCACAAAAATTGTCCCTCACTCAACAATTTTTTAAATTTGCTTCGTTTGCCTTCTGTTTTGGAAGCTATTCTGCAGAACCTAGAAATCAGTCAGTCTCTCTCTCTCTCTCTCTCTCTCTCTCTCTCTCTCTCTCTCTCTCTCTCTCTCGGGGCTTGCTACGTTGCTCAATCACTTTTTTGTGATTCATACCCAGGACCTTGCCCTTCTAGGCTGGCACTTGTGCCACTAAGCTATATACCCCAGCCCATGCCACGTAGTTCAAGCCAGTCTTGAGCCCACAATCTTCCCACCTCGAGTCTCCTGTGTGCTAAGATTACAGGTGTTTTCCTCTCTCTTTTAATGGCTAATAAATTAATAAAGCTAACTAGTTATATTCCTAAGAAGGCATAATTAGGGTAATGGGTTGGGAATTTCCACACTTTTATTGTTGTTGAAACAGTCTTACTTTGTAATCTAGGCTCACCTCAAAACTCACTGTGTAGCCCAACATGGCCTCAAACTACTCCTGCCTCAAATCCTGCTGTTAAAGGCATATACCACCACAGTCAGAACTGAATTTTTTTTTATTATTAATTTTATTGAAAAAGAAACAATTAATTTCAATGAATTTTTTAATAAAAATAAATTTCAAAGCATGAGGAAAAAGTATTATTGTACCATATACCTAAAATGCCTTAGGATTTCTGATGGCTTACTCTTACTATAAAGCCAGGTCCCAGAAAAACATTTACATACATTGGTAAAAAACCAAAGCTTTGGACCACATATACCTATGTTTTCCAACTCCAGTTCTATCTTAGCTATCTTGGCTTGGAAAGATTATAATCAACCTTAATAGGCTGAGGATGTGGCTGAGCAGAAGAGCACACACAAACCTAATATGCACAAGGTCCTAGGCTCAATCCCAAGTATTGCAAACAAAACAAGAACACCATCAACTAGGAACACTATTATAAAGGTCACAAAGCAACACACATGCAGCTTAGCACTGGATATAATTAGGGGGCTGGGGAGGTGGCTCAGTGGAATAAGCACTTCCCTGGCAAGGGCCTGAGTTCAATCTCCAGTTCCGCCAAAATAGTAATAATAATAATAATAATAATAGTAATAATATTTAGGTATAGAGAATATATGCAGGATTGCTTGGATAATTGTACTGCTGATTTCTACTGGTCTATTCAAAGTAGTTAATGCTTAATTTTTTTTTTCTGTTCAATTTCTTACAAATTTTCCTTAAACCAATTTTGCATATTTATAACTGGTAATCTAAATAACTAATTTGAAGATAACATGCAATACCACAAGCACTGTCGAATTCCCATTATTTTGTTTAGTGAAATTCTGTATAGTTTCTAATGTTTTTTTTAATAATTTGTGTTCTTTAATAAATTTTTTTTAAATGTAATTTTAAAAAAGGCTTCCCATAGGGCCAACCCAGTAGCCCAGCAGATTAAAGCGCCTACAAGCAGGCATAGGGGCAGAGATTTGATCCCTGGGCCTGTGTGCATGCCCTGCCCCCCCCCCCGGGGGGGGGACGACGACACCCTAGACTGGGCGTGGTGGCGCCTGTAATCCCAGCTCTTGGGAGGCTGTAAACAGGCAGATCACTACAAGTCCAGATCTAGTAAGGTAGACCCTTCCCTAAAATACAAAAGTAAATAAATAAAGGCTTCCACATTGTAGACACTTTTTTAAAGAACCAGTCTTTAACCAAGAAAACATTTGCCAAACCAAAATAAATTCATACTACTTATATTAAACTCATGATGTCTACTATTGAAGTTTGTAACAGATAAAATATATTTCTGCAGCCTTGAAATGTACTACTTTCCTTTGTTTTCATTTTCTTGTGCAGTAAGCTACTTCACTTATTTAATAAACTGGGAAACACTCTAAGAACTAAATTATTTTCAGTAATCTCTTTTTAAGTAGCAACAATATTAACTTTCCACAACGTATTAACTCTATTGTATAATCTTTATACAAAGTGGTCTTAGGAGCACAGAAAGAAGAAAAACAATTCTGCAATCCAGCTAAGCAAGACTCTCAACTCATGTACTGCTGTTCCTTTTCTTTAAATAAACAGTAATCATACTTTTAAAGAATACACAAATTTATTACATAGAAAACTACTAATTTTGAGGACAAAGAATAATGTCAGAACAGTTTCACTACAGACTTTACTAGTAATTCCACAGAAGACTTTAGATCAATTTCCAAAACATTCATAACACAGATTCTACCCCACTCCTTGTTTACACACCGTATTTCTGCTCATCAGGTCACCTATGTAAACCACTACGTTTATCTCTGGTGCCCAGATCTCAAATTCCCTCTGCCATGAGGTGAGGGTGGATAAAGGGACGACTATAAGAAAGGGTCCATACAGCTGGTGTTGGTGGAACAGGTAGGAGAGGAATGATATGGTCTGGATGGTCTTTCCTAGGCCCATTTCATCCGCAAGGATTACACTGTTACTCCTGCAGAGAAAGTCAAAACAAAACAATCACTAGCTCATCAAACATGAGTATACGCATAACTGTGCTATCAAGGCTTTACAAGGAATAACGGCACAGAAAAGCATCAGTATGAATCTCAAACACACACATCCTTGTCTGCAAGAATTTAAGCCTCTTACACGAGGAAGTAACTAGAGATCATATAAAGCAGCCAAGAGATCTAAAGTATGTTCCAATTCAGATCACTGTAAGAGCCTGACCAAACTGTATTCTTCATTCTTCAGTCAGGGCTTTGAGAAATGTTTTCTTCCCAAGAGTAGCTCCTCTAACAGAAGGCAAGTTTTACTGTAGGTATGCATGGCATGTAACCTCGGGTCCTACCAAAATGCAGAATGTAAGCAGATTGGCTATCCAGGCTGCCATGGAAGCCTACATCCTGCAGTCATGGCCTCTGCTCAAGTGACCCACCCCACTGCTGCATGCCACGAGGTCCTTCAGTGCTATCTCCAGCACTCCTCAGGACCTGCTGCAGGTATGCAGAGCTTGTACTCAATACACCAGCCTACAGGAGACGCAGATAGGCTGCACATCACAGTTCCAGAACCTCACTCCCGGTCTACAGAATGGAAGTATCTGGCATATAGCACGGGCTTCTATATTTTTAACAAGCACCACTGAAAGCAGATGGTCCTTTCACCAGTTTCAGAAACACCATTCTAAAAAAATTAGCTAGGTCTCAAGAGGATTACTAAAAGAAAAGAAAAAAAAAAAAAAAAAAGTCCAATGTAAGGGAAAAGAACTGAAGAAAACAGACACAGGGAAAAATGTTTAGAAACTAAAAAGTAGCCCACCTGGCAGGAAGCTGGGTATAGATCTGTGTGTGACATAAGGCTGCAAACATAATTAAGTTTAAAACAGGGCCACTGAGAGTAAGTGCTATTGGTAATCTGTACAAGTATAATATATGTTTACTCAGTGCACCAGAGAAGCCTAAAAGTAATACACAGTTTAAAGGCAACATAACTGACCAGAAAAACAAGACATTTAACTCACCAGGGAGATTCTAGTCCACAAAATAAGTAGATGAAAAGGAAAAGTACAGAAAAAAACCAAAGTGCCTGAGCGAGTAAGTATATACACTTCCATAAATCTCAAGTGCACCCAATTTCCTTCACAGTTTCCGTAAGTATACTTACTGTTAAATCCTCAAAGCCTTTGAAGGTCCCCAGCCCTCTTAACTGAAGTAACAGTGCAGGAACAGTACAGCTGAGAAAACACTGAACCTGTTCTCCAACCACTTACTTGCACCAGGAATGAGCGAGCCAGTTGAGGCCTTCTAGCTGATAATCTCGGAGCTCCAGATTTTCCCCTCCTAAATATGCTGGCTGTTTTTTTAAAGCTACAAATCGTGGTCTCTGCTTCAGGGCCTGAAAGACAAAAGGTGACAAAGCCCAGGTATAAAACAAGTTTCTCTCTGGTACTAAATTAAAGTCCTATCACAATTTATATTGCACCACAGCAAAGTAAAAGCACTGCAGTTGCACAGATGAGTCCCCATCCCTACTGCGCTCCCCTTTTCTGATCCTCTATTTCTAGAGCTCAGACTGAAGTAACAGGTTTTAGGTGCCCTGCAACACCCGGGGCCCCTGGCACTCACGTCACCTGGCAGCACAGCAGCAGCACAGGCTGTGCACGCCTATGGTCAGGGAACCTGGGAGTCTGAGGCAGGGTGACCAGGAGGGCGAGGCCACTTCAACTACCAAGTCTCAAAGACATTCCCAGCTACCCAGGAAAGGCTGTCATACCCTAAATGCAGCTAAGCGGGCACCTGTATGACCCTCTAAGTACAACAGGACCCATAAGTCCTGAGATGTGGTCCCCCACATGAAGGCTCCCACATATGCAAATCTGGTTTTCTGAAGTTTAATTTGTAAGAGAAGTTTATTCAGGAAGAATCCATCACAAAATTACCTGGCCGCACAAGTCTTTTCATGGAACACTTCTTCGAAGAAGAGAACTACGACCCCAACAGAGGATCTGCCAGGGTGCTACAGCTCTTAGGAAGAGATGCCAGCAGCACCACACGCTGACTGCTCCTTCACATCCCACACCAAAGGCCCACCCTTCCTGCCGAATCTGCTCCAGATCTTTAAAATTATCTTAGCATCCCTAACTCCATTAAATTACAAAACCATTGAAGCCAGCAAAGCCACTGCTGCGGCCTGTGTCTCGATGCTCCCCATCCCAGAAAGCCTCGCGCATACACAGTGAGACTTCCAGAGGTGGCTGGGCCTGGAGTGTGCAGTGCTGGGAGTGGGCGTGTGTGGTTGCTACACTAGTCCACTGATCGTTCTGCACAGCTCTGGAAACACATAAGACACCCCACCATGGGTGTGAGTCCCCAGGGCAGGTAGCCTGAATAAAATATAAGGAAGAGGGCGAGGGTCAGTGCTCGTCACTTGCTGCCTTCTGCCTTCCGTAACTGCTTCTCCTCTATAATGCCCACCGGCCACCTCACCCACTTTGTACCAATCAACTATGGACTGAAACTTCTACAAAGTGAGCCGAATAAATCAAGTCTGGGTATCGGGTAGTTCAAACAACAAGAGAAGTAACTAGGACAGCGATCTTGCAATGCATCCTTGCTTTTCGTTATAATTATTTTTCCTTTAAGATCACACTTTAATCTTTTACTTCAAAACAGAAATTATCAGAGCCAGGCGTGGTACTGCACACCTGCAATCCCAACACTCAGGAGGCTGAAGCAGGAGGATCACTGCGAGTTCAAGACCAGCCTGGACTACACAGTGAGCTCAAGGCCAGCCTGAACTGCATAGCAGGACCCTGTCTCAAAAAGACAAAAAACCCAGAAATCATCATTTTACTCTTGCACTATCTTTTCATCCTAATATCTATGTGGCTAATCCTTTGTACATTCTTTCCCTGAAAATCCAAAAGCCAATAACCACTATACCTTGCATTCTCTTGTTGGTATTGTTTTTGAGTTGTTTCGACTATGGAAGCTGTCGATACAGTTGTTGAATTTTTTTCCAATCAGAGCTTCATCTTCCCAGCTACACTCTGAATAGGGCAGTCCCATCCATTTGCATAGATATTCAGGCTCATTTGAAGGTGCTGGCTTCCGGCTGTGAGCTACACACCACGTTTGAGAGTCACACATCAAATCAATTGTTAAAAGCATAACCAATGAAAACCCAGGTGGCAAACCAGTAAGCAATTTGTAAAGCAAGAAGTACTACTGGATGCTAAACACCCATAACCCAAGAACCTCTTACTTGCCTGGAAAATCTGTCTGGCCCAGTGTAGACTTGCTTGTCTTCATCGCTACACAAACGGAAAGGAAAACAAGTTACAGCCATATCAAGAAAAACTGAGAAAAAAGTTTTATAAGAACACAAATATAATTCACTACAAAGGAAGGGGCAAAAAAAAAAGAAAAAACAAACCTAATTTACTCTATCAGATCTCAAAAAATCTTGCAGCCAGGCTTGTGTGCCACACACCTGTAACCCCAACACCTTGAGAGGCTGAGGCAGTAAGATATACAAGTTCAACACTAGCCTGGGCATGTTAATGAAACATGTCAAGTAAACACAACAGCTGATGAGGAAGTCAGTGGGAATAAAGGTCCTAGTTTCAACTACTAGAACTGCCCCCAAAAAATGAAAAAGAAAATACACAGTACTACTAATAAAAACTGTTTACATATGCAGCAATTCTTAAGAGTACAAAAACTAAGTGAGAATAAAATGGTTATTCTGACAAGTAGCTCAGCACTCCCTGGGTTCAATCCTCTTTGCATAACGTGTGATTTGCCAGGTGATGGTGGGCTTTACAAACTACCCAGTGCTCAAGGACAATTGTATGATACATCAAAAATGCCAGAACAGTTTTTTCTGAGCAAGTCTGGTAGTACTTCCTTGCAATCCAGCACTCTGGAAGGCTAAGACAGGTGGACCGAAAGATCAAGCCAAGCACAGTCAGATTAGCAACATACTGCCACAAAATTTGAAGGAAAAAAAAAAAAAAAAAAGACTAAAGATGTAGCTCTCTGTAAAGGTCCTGGTTCAATCACCACTACCACCAAAAAAAAAGACAACCTCCACTAGGCATGGTGGCACTACACATGCCTAGAAATCTAGTCAGCTAAGACACAAGATTTTGAGAAGGAAGGCACCTTACATTAGTTACTACATAACGAGTTTAAGGCCAGCCTGGATTGTATAATGAAACTGTTTCAAAAAACATCTCACTCACCTGACTCAGGCTAGCAGCCCCACTTCTCTGTTCCCTTTTGAAATAAAATTCCCCAGTAACTGACCCGATGGGTGGCCCCTCTCATTAACTCTTGAGCACACCCCACCTCAGGGCTGCACTACGTCCATTTCATGGGTCCGTTTCACTCAGCCATACCCATCAACCCATCTAACAGCACTCATCCGCTGCAGCAGAGAAAGTCGCTAACTTCTGGCCCAGCAATCTCCCTTAGAGCACCTCAAGGCATCAGGTGACCCTCCTCTATCTCTTTCAATAGCTTCTCTCAAACTCACACACACTGGAGTCCTCCCCTTCAGATTTCATCTTCTCACCATGTCTGTTTTACTTCAGATAATCTTATTAAGTCACAGGCTATCAATACTACCTACTCTCAAACAGTCAACTTTAAGCCTCTATTTCAGAATAAAATTTCTAAAATCCAATTCACCTATGTTCGTCTTCAAAATACTCTTAACTTTGAGTGACTAAGGTCAATAAATAGTTAAAAATCAAACTAACCCGTTGAGATCCATGCCCCTTCATCTTTCCATTTCAGCAAATGGCATGTCTACTCTCCTATATGTATCTATTCAAGCCAATAATCTTGTCATCATTTTTGATCCCTCTTTTTGTCATTCCCCAAACCCCTATTAGCAAATCTTGCAGGCTTCTTCAAAATAAATCTATCCATCTGTCTAATCTCAAAATGTAGCCATCCAAATGCATGTGTTATTTTCTATTCTCCCAACAGCAAGTACCTATGCTTTGAGTTCGAACACGGCCACCTGAGTTCCCATGTACTTACCTATTACTCTTTCTACTATCTGATACTGTTTATTCAACTCTGAGGCCAGCTCCTGTTGGCAATTGAAATATTCTACATCTTCAGGAGAAACTTTCCCTAACCTTGACAGAAGACAAAGAAAAAAGCATATATCAGTTAGATTTTGGGGATCTACATACACATACCAGAGCACAAACCCAACACAGGAAAGGGAATCTATTTACTTCATTCTGTCCCTTTAGTGGTCTTTATAACTCAGCCTGGTTTTTTTGGTTTTTTTTTTTTTTAAAAAAAACACCCTAACATAATTCCTGTCAACTAATTGGTAAGACCAAGGTCAGTTTATTTAAGTACATAACCAAGGTGCTTTATAAAGACAGGCTCCAGGGGCCGGGGAGATGGCTCAGCGGAATAACACGATTCCCTGGCAAGCACAAGGGTTTGAGTTCAATCCCCAGTTCCGCAAAAATAAATAAATTAATTAATTAAATAAATAAATAAAGACAGGCTCCAGACTCAAGGACCAAGATTCAAGTCCAAGGTTTACTGTTCAGTTTACCTGTGCCTTACTCTTCCCATACACAAAAGAGGGTAATAACATTACACCTCTTACACCCTGGTTGTAATGGCTGAGCAGATGATGTGTGAACAGCGCTAAGAATAATAATTCTAAAAACTTAGCCATACAGACTACTGGACTATATTGGAACATTTTGCTGAATTCATGCACCTACAATATTTAAATGACAATGGAATACCCTTCTCTGACAAAACTAAACAAAAAAGGGGAATACAAATGAACGACCATTTTGTATCTGTATATTCAAGATAGGGTAGATATACAGCTGCATTCTCTTAATTCAATGAAGATTTGTTCTAATAGTGTTTGTGGACAGGATGTCATGTCTGCATCTTGTACAATGAATTATTGAAACTGTGCTAATAATCGGTTTTGAAAGTGTCTCATTGCTATTTCTCAATAAAATTATTTTAAAAAATAAAAATAAAAACTTAGCCATATAAAAATACATCTTCAAATTACAATTTTATGAAACAGAACTGCACATGGCTACACATCCAGAAGATCAAGGGAAAATTGAGGGTCTTAAAGAGCTATGTCCTCCCTGCATTATTTTAGAGCCTTTCCTTCTCTCGGGATAGTCGGCTCTCCTTAACATGATGGAAATATACCATTGTTTGATTTCATCCTCTTTCTTCTTGAAGTTCTCTAGCTTTTTGAGGCCCTTCACTTTCTGCTGCTGTAAAGACTCTTCGCTCTCCCACGTGCTGTGGATGTGAGACCACCCCTTCCACTTGACGAGGTACTGGGTTTCACCTTCACCCTTCCCAGGGTCAAAGTCAACACTTGGGTCTCCATTAGCTTCCACAGCATACACTGTAGTAGATGCTCCAGTGGCTGCAGAAGAAATGAGGAAGCTTTCAAGAGCAAGTATGAAGCCAGACAGTGAAAAGCTTCCCAATGAAGCAGTTGTATAAACAATCTTTTTAGCTGAACTACCAAATACCATGACTTGATGAAATAAGCAAAAACTCAACACAGTATGAACTCCACCAATAATTTCAAGTGTTTTCAAAACCCACCTTTAACACTGTACAAAATTTGCAGATTAAAAAAAAAAAATTAAAAGAATTCCTGTTAAAACATAATAAAAACACAAACAAAAGCCAATAATAATAATAATAATAATAATAACAACAACAACAATAATAACAGAGCAGCAACATGCTATGTTTTGGTCTCTACTGAAACACCAAATCCCTCTTTGCAGATACTGCTAGAGAATAGAAAATCAAAGTGCCTTCCTCATTTGCCAGACACCACTGCTCACGCCTATAAACCAACGGATTACCTGGTGCAGGAGGAATATGGAGCATTTAAGGAATATCATGAAACCCTGTCTTAAAAAACAAGAAATCTCCCCTTGCTTACCCACTTTTACCTCAAATGAAGCCAGAACAGGGGCCAAGAAGAGGGTATTATTTTGATATTTTCTTTATGACGAGGTTGCATTAAAGCAACTAAGTTGTCAGATATCTCAAACACAGTTGGTTTCTGTCAGACTCAGTCTCACTGTGCGGTCACAGGTGGCCTTGAGCTCACTGTACAGCCCAGGCTGACCTCACGCTCACAGCAACCCTCCGGTTTCCACCTCCCAAGAGTTAGGGTCACAGATGAGCCCCACCTTGGCCAGCGTCAACTACATTTTAAAAACTATTATCCAATATATATTTAAGCAGTTCAGTATTTTTACTAGGACATTCAGAAACAACTAGACCCAGACTTGCTTAAGCTTAATGAGCCAATATCTAATTAGCAAGTATCTATTCTATCACTGCTTTATAAAACATTAACGCTTTATTAGCATCACTTAAAATCTCAAAGAAATATTGGACCCATTCCTTTCTTCTCAGCTCTAGTGCCATAGATTAGGTCAAAGTTCTACTTACACAACAAGTTTAAGTGTTGACTAACATAGTTAAAATACGTAAAATCTGAGCCTTATTGAGCAGCTAAGAAAAGTATTTTGCTCCCCAAATACACTTACCTCCTTTCCTTCCCAGTCTGGAATCTAAGATCTTTTCAATAGTTTCACTATTATCTTGCTGTTCATCAACTCCTTCTCCAGTCATCTCAATGAGATCATCTGAGTCAGTTTCAAAGTCATCATCTTCTTTGTAACTGTGTGAAAAACAATGCTGAATTAATGAGAAATGCATTTTGAGAAGCAAGTACTCTACACACAACATCACCAGAACACAGAACTATATTCCTCGGTCCAACATGCTATTTTACAGATTCACCATTCAGTGTGGACTCAGTGCTACTTCTTCCCCAAAATATTATGCATGTTCATAAATACAAGAAAGTACTGTTTTTACGCTAATTTGTTGTAAGCAAAATACAAAAAGTTGGAACATCCTTATTTTTCTTTTCATGTTTTACCATCAGCTCATACTGTGTAAACAAGGAAACTACTACAAAGAAAATCAACAACGAAAGGAAAAACTGCTACTCTCTTGAACAAAAGGGAAGATTACATGATTCAACTCTGTATTTTGTCTCCCAATAACAAAATGAAATTTCACTACTACCAAAATACTGGGAATCTTCACAAATGTACTTACTGGTAACAAAGCAAACCATTAATTTTTACAATATATTAATAACAAAAATTTGGGAGTCCAAAAAGAAAAACCTGGGGCTGGTGAGATGGCTCAGTGGTCTTGGGCACCTACTTAGAACAAGCTAAGCGAGGCACAGGGACCGTGGTTCAATC